TGTACTGGAAAGCATATGCGTATTGGGTAAAATATATTTCTTGAAAACATTGTGCTGCGTACGTATATCTGATGTCGTCACATTTCCTCCACAGTTTCTGAACAGAGTGTTGACGTCACGTATCTCTGTGCGGTTGCTGGTAGAGCATTTCATTGCTCTCCACGAACGTCGTGATGGCTTCAAAGGTAATGTGTCAAGCGTGAAATGTCAATTGGTTAGTGTCAGGCGTCAAATGTACGCATGAATTCTTCCGCAACTACACATCCATACACATGAACACCCTTACACATTCATAGTTGTCGAATGTCAAGTGTCTAGTGTCACCTGTCACGTGTCAGGTGCCAAATCTCACGTGCGAGCTATTGAGTAGGCTGTGTTATCTGTCATGTTTTGGCTGTCCGGCTTCAAGTGTCAAGTGTCAAGTGTCAAATGTCAAGTGTCAAGTGTCTGACTGTCAAGGGAATAATATGTATTAAATGGCTATTTCCAGGCGTCATGTTAGTCGTCATGAGACGTTACGTGTTCTTACTCTCTTACGGTGTAGCACCAAATGCCCAAGGATTCATTAATATGAAAACAAGAAAAGAAAGAAAATCTCACACATGTGCACGTGTAAATGATGAGCAGCCTCGTCGCACAGCCTCATCGTGCCCCAGTATGATAGCAAGTACCACGCAACACATACTGGGTGAAAGTTTGGGTCCGAGGCACTCTTATCAGCAACTACATGGTCATGAGCATGCTCTGGTGAACTACATGGTTATGCGCATGCTCTGGTGAACTACATGGTCACTGCCCAATGCTCTGGTGAACTACATGGTCATGCGCACGCTCTGGTGAACTACATGGTCATGCTCATGCCCTGGTTGTTGCTTACAGTAGATGCTTGTTGAGCGTGCTGCCCAGTTCAATGTGTGCGTCATGTGGGACTTTTAAGTAGAGGTCACACAATCCGCGGGCGGGTGCAAGCTAGTGATCTGTGAAGTCGTACCAACAACTGCATATACTTGCACATACATGCATATACATACGCATGCATGCATATACATACGCATGCATGCATATACACACGCATGCATGCATATACATACACATGCATGCATATATATACACATGCATGCATATACACACACATGCATGCATATACACACACATGCATGCATATATATATACACATGCATGCATATATATACACATGCATGCATATACACACACATGCATGCATATACACACACATGCATGCATATATATACACATGCATGCATATACACACACATGCATGCATATATATACACATGCATGCGTATATATATATACATGCATGCATGCATGCTGCGGGTGTGGATGGCTCATGCCCACCGCAGGGGTTACAGCTTCTGTGAATTCTTTGAAACGAGTCGAATCCGACCTGGACCGAAAAAGTATATAGCACAATCACTGGCTGTTCACGTATGGCTTATGCGTAGTATTTCGTATCAGCATACAACACTTCTGGGGCATTTTGTGTACCAAAGACTCACAGTTGCATGGTTTTGACGCTGCTTCTGATCGTAACAGGTATTGTGTGTGAGAACATGTGTCCAGCCTTGGCTGTGGAAAAAGCCGCCGGAACTGTTTCCGGTATTTGCGAACAGAATTACGGGATCGCGCCCCCTGTGGTTATTGATGGCGACACCTCCGCCACCATTCCGTACATCCCTGCGCATCTGGACTACATGCTCATAGGTGTGTGTCTGTGTGTGTATATGTATGTGTGCGTGCATGTGTGTATGTATGTGTGCGTCTGTGTGTATGTATGTGTGCGTCTGTGTGTATGTATGTGTGCGTCTGTGTGTGTATGTATGTCTGTATGTGTGTGTGTATGTATGTGCGCGCGTGTGTATCAGTAAATGACATACTTCAACTTGCAGACTGCGTGCTCATATGGGTGTGGAAGTGTGCTTGAGTGTTTGTGTATATGTTAAGTGTGTATATGTGTTAGTGTATATATATGAGTGTATGTAAGTGCGCGTGTATATATATGTAAGTGCATATATGTGTGTATGTATGTGAGTGCAAATAAGAGTGTCGATGTGTACGTATATATTGTACGTAACTGTGCGTATATG